AAATTATACCAACAAAGATGCTAGAAGCGCAGCACAGCAAGTCCAAGCAAACAATCTCTTTGTTTACAAAGAGCAGGTCGCCTGGACCTGATGTACAGCGTCACCAACATCTTAAGATGGAATAATGAGTGTGCTCTGGCCAAAACGGAAAACCAGTTCACACTAAAATCCATCGCACAAGTGGGATTCTTTATAAAGTGATCCGCAATCGAAGACCCATACGTGTTACGAATGGTATCGCCTAACGAAAAATTTATATATATATATATATATATAAACGAGAATACATACAAGTACATAAACAAATTTTTCTCTAAACGCTGCTTGTTTTGAGTTGTACAGGCACTTAACGTGACTGAGCACGTGAAATGCGGCTAGCATAAAACGCAAGTAAAACGCGACTAGCACGACGGGGGCGTGCTCATTTAATTTTTTCCGTCAGTTGATTAATTAGTAAGAGCGATTAATTAAACAGTTTAGTGTAATTCTTATGAAACTCTTCTGTCATTTTAGTCATTCTTCCGGGGAGAGGCTTTATTAATTTGCATATGTAATTTACTTCACACGTTTTAAGAGTTGAAAATTTGGAGAATTTTGTATATTTTTTGAGGATGTGTTCGTCGGAGTTGCGATTGTTTGTGATAAAATATTCTACAAGTTCTATTGATTGTTGTGTCGACAATCAAATTTGTGGTATCAAATTTTTTGTTTAATTTTTCAGTTGTGCAACCCTCATAAATCAAGTCCTGTTTGGACCAGTGGCGTATATCAAATTGGAATTAGCACAATTTCTACTTTCTGAAGAAATCGCAGTGTTTCTCTTGGAATTTGTGATAAAACTGACTTGACTCATATGGTTTCTTTACGAACTGTTCCCCTTCTGTGACCGTTTTGCTTTGGAGCACAACGATCGGAAACTCCAATAGAGTTTTCAATCTGTTTATTCGTATCCGTTAAAACTTGTCTGATATTTTTTTTTCATTTTAGGTTGGGATGGATCTCCTTAAAATGAAGATATTTTTGCGAAATATGTTCGTAGCGGTGTTTTGATCTGGGGTAAAATTATGACAATCTTTTTTTTAGCTATTCCATTGACAATTTATTTCATTCGCGACATTTAATAGCTGCGTTGAACGTAATATCGAATGAAATCATTGAGATGCTTCCAATAATCTTTTATGCCAGTGTGAATCAATATTATGTGCAAAAATTGGGGCATCGTGTTTAATTTTATTCTGCGATAAGGATGGTTAGAACGGTAGTGAACATTAATGTGATGAGGTAGGCTTGCAAAATAGCTCAGTCAATAGACAAAACCCTGAGAGCTTTAATCTAGTGTCTAAACGTTCAATAGCATTTTTTGAAAAACTGAATGGGAATTTTATGTTTCGATTGAAAATTGTTTTTGCGCAAAAGTGTTGCAAAATTATAAAGAATGTAGTAAAATTTTTTTTTGGTGTACCTTCCAAGCTGAAGGAAACATAACTAGTACATCGTAGCCAATGTATTGGTCCATGGCCGTGCTGTGATTTGAAATCTGCAAGTTGTGTCTCTGCAAAGTTTGTCACTAAAGTATTCTCAAAAGTAGGGTCCATTAGGGTTCCCATTACACATCCCTCTGTTTGGTAGTAAAAAAAATGTCCATATTTCATTGTGTTGCATTCCAAAACGAACCATAGAATTCCCAAAAAAATCTGTCGGAATAGTTTTGTTTTACATTTCTCAAATGCTTTGCTTACATGCCTTAATCTGTTCATTACGATCAATGTTAGGATAAATGAACGGAACATCCATTGTGACTAAAAAGCATTCATGAAAATCATTTTTCGTTCTGAGAATTTATTTATTTACTTACTTATTTTTTCAAGCATTACACCCCAAGCAAAGCGGGAGTGCCACTAGCATGCAAGGGGTTACATAGAGTAGGAGCAAGAGCAAAGATGCGTGATAGAGTAGAGGATGAAGAGAATGACGGGGAATTAAATCAAGGCATCTGAAGATGTCGATTGACATTACATTTGAATAATTGAAAATTATAGCTATCAGGGAAACAACTAAAGGAAGGGAGTTCCACACATGAGAAGTGCGAGACATGAAGTTATTGGAGTAGAAGGCGTTTAACTGTTTCGACAGTGAAAGGGTGGGACTGAGATGCCAACCTAGTAGCACGCTTAAATTCATGCAGTTTGGGAACCAGTGAAAGTAGCTCGTTGGAGCAGTTACCGTGAAAATATTTGTAGAAAAGACAGAGGGAAGCGACGGCACGTCTGTGAGAAAGTGACTGTAGACGAGATGCCAGATCAAGACCGATCACATTGCATATTCATCTCTGCATTTTTTCAAGGACCTTGAGACAAACAGCGGGGGCTTCAGATTGTAGAGATAAATTCAAATGTGTCGCGAACGTAAGAATAAGGCCATTTTATCATGGAAAGTAGAAAGCCATCTAGCCAGAGATGTTTGCAGTGCAACAGTCATATCCACTACAAATCAGAGAGGGAGAGTGGAGGAAATTTAAAAAAAAAACTTTTTGTATATATTTGGAAGGGCGTAAAAAACAGAGTTGTTGTTGTTGTTGTTGTTCGGAACGCAATATTATGGATCCCGTTTCAGTAACGAGACGGCGTAGTGCGTTACATTGCGAAGTGGTAAGGTAATTCCGGGGTTTTGTTATTGTTTGAATGTGAATGTCCCCCACGAATTTTACTCTGGATATCGGGATGGATTTTTATTAACCAAATTAATGTCATATTCGACCACAATCTTCATTGTTATCGATTGTAATAATTTTATAATTTTCGCCATTATGTCTTTCGAAAAATAGTCCTTTAGTTTGTAGTGAAGGATAAAGTGAAATATACCCTGTTAATTTATTTTTGTCAAAGTTTTTCTAGTACCTGAGCAAAAATCCAGCTCAAACTCTTAGATATCTCATTTGCTGATAGCTTGAATTTTGATAAATATATCCAGCGTGTTGGAAATTTTGCGAGACGTAGTAGTAGTGGAATTTCATTTTATCATAAAGGTATTTGTGTGTTTTGACTTTCGATTCTTTTTGTATTCTTCATTCAGGTCATATAACTTATTTCATATCAGAATTTGTTGCGATTCTGAGATAAATTATGTCACATTTTGTCAGACTTTTTAGGAATGAACCATTATTGTGTAAATGGTATAGATTTAGTTGTATCTATTATGCTTAGCATTTGATAAGCTTTAGTTAAAGGTGTGATCTGTACTTGTGAGTATAATTTTTGTATATCTTTAAGACATGGGCCCAGAGGAAACTTTTCCAAATAAACCGAGGGCTCCAACTACAACTAAAATTATTGATATCTTCATGTGCCACAATTTAGAGGTTTCCACTTCAAGTTATTATTTTGATATTATTTTGATATTATTTTGAAGATCTTCAAAGATACAATACAGTCTGCAGGAACTGTCACATCAATAAGAAAGGAAATTCTGTTTTTGTGGCCTTTGATTACTATGTCTGGACAATTAGCTTTGATTATTTTGTCTGTGTTTATTGTAAAGTCCTATAAAATTGTTGCAGGATTTATGTCGGTAACCGGGTCTGGGCGGTGTTCCTACCAATTTCTTGCAGTTTTGGTTTATGTTGTTTTCCGTTCAATTTTCTATATTCTTGGATTACGTAGTTTACTGGCTTATTTCTTTCTCCCCGGGTGTGGCGTCTACGATTTTGGGGGTCCTTTTGTAAACCTTCTCCCTTGTATAGTCTTGATGCAATTATGCTGAACTGTGATGATGTGGGATTGCATTTATGTTTTTTTTAGAGAAGCCAGATCGATGATTTCTCATTTGCAATAATCTCTATCTTCGTTTTAAATTCTTCGTGGAACATTCCATTTTCCAATTTTTCTTTCCTTGTATTCTTCTTTGTCGATTATTTTTCAAAAATTTCTTGTTGGACTCTTTGGGGAATTGTTAAAATATTATCGATGCATTGCTATGCATATGCAGTTCCATTTTCCACAGTCTTTGATGCTAATGTGTCCTCTACCAACTTCCTTTATTATTATCTGTCTGTGTCGAGTCTTCCGGATGTAAAGATTTGTTCATGGTTACGAGTTTCCTGGTCTGTTGATTCATTGATTTGTGTTTTTCTTTAGTTTTGCTGAGGAATTGTCCTATGTATTCGACAATCGATACTGTCCAGCTGTTTATTCATTTTACATGGTTTCTGCAATTTTGTTTGGCTTCATGTATTTTTCACCGTCATCCTAAGGCCTATTTATTAACTTATTTCTTCTTGCTTTATTGAGTCACGTTCGAGTTATTTATACCGATCCACTGTTAATGCTCCTATTTTCTTTTTATTTGGTATGTCAATTCCATTCGTTATCACAGGTCTTCTGTGCATAATTAACATTGCAAAGTTATGTATGCCAAATTCCATACTACATCTGTCTATATTTCTATAACTGTTTGTAACTACACTATTTACATTGTTCGGATTGTTGCCATCATCTTTATTGTCTTATTGATGACGTTTCTGCCCTTGTACGCCCCGACCTTCTTCAGGATTTTTTTCTATTTCAGAGATGAAATACTGTAACTATTTACACTATTTACATTGTTCGGGTTGTTGCCCTCATCCTTATCGTCTCATTGATGACGTTTCTGCCATTGTACGCTCCAAGCTTCTTCAGGATTTTTTCTATTTCTGAAATGAAGTATTGTAACTATTTACACTATTTACATTGTTCGGATTGTTGCCCTCATCTTTATTGTCATATTCACGACGTTTCAGCCGTTGTACGCTCCGACCTTCTTCAGGATTTTTTTCTATTTCTGAGATGAGGTATTGTAACTATTTACATTATTTACATTGTTCAGACTGTTGCCCTCATCCTTATTGTCTTATTGATGACGTTTCTGCCATTGTACGCTCCGACCTTCTTCAGGATTTTTTTCTATTTCTGAGATGAGGTATTGTAACTATTTACATTATTTACATTGTTTGGACCGTTGACCTCATGTTTATTGTCATATTCACAGCGATTCGCACCGAATCTAGAATAGTCAATCTGTAAGTTGGCGTTTCTGTAGGAAATGGAGCCTGTTTTCTGTGACTTTACTGAGCGACCCATTATATGTCAGCCAATTTCAGGAAATAAACATGGGAAGAACGTCTACACAAACGTCATCGAACAAATCTTCAGAAATGTCAACATACAGATTGACTATTATGGGTTCAGTTCGAAATTCAAATAAATATGACCTGAAGAAAACCGGATTGTATAACGGCCGAAACACTGTGGATGTGACAATAACGATGAGTCCGAACAATATAAACGGTGTAAGTTTCATTCTGTTTTCAGTTTTTTTTTTTTAAGATTAAGTTTTGTGGCATCATAGTTATGATAAAAAAATGCATCTTTTGAAAAAAAAAAGTTCGTTTTTTGATACTTGCTGCTATGAAGGATTTATCACCTGTGGTTAAATTTACATCCTATTTTGTAATGACATGTAATAATCATTTTAATGATTTGAGTGCACTGCCACGGTTCCAAAATCAACCTGCCCTACCCCAGCACCCTATAAATTAAATAGCAGGTTAAATTAGGATCTTTAACCGTGATTGACATCTCAGTCTAGGAGAAAGATGACTTTAAATTCGAAACCGTGAAAAAGGATTCGGGATGCCACTTCACTTTCGTCCGATAAAAAAAAAAAATTGACAACGTATAGATAACATAGGAAATAAATCTATAGACAGTCATGATCGCTTACGTCCTGATGGCATTTAAAGATCGCTTACGTCCTGATGGCATTTAAAGAAGAATAAAATACATGTCGGATTTTAACTAGATATACTATACAAAATTTGACATTGAATAAAGCAACAATGATTGGTATGGGGTATGGTATCTGGAGGGATAGCCTGTATTGATCATTGCTAGTGTAGTTCAGTCCTCAGTGCGCGCTCCATGCATAATCTATATCTATAAAAGGCAGGATGTGTGTGTGTGTGTGTGTGTGTGTGTGTGTGTGTGTGTGTGTGTGTGTGTGTGTGTGTGTGACGAATGTACGGTCACAATTTTCGACGGATTTGCACCAAAATTTATATGCACATGCTCCAAGTTAGCAGAAAGGCCAAGACCGACTTTGCATTTCCCAACTCCCATCGATAGTGGAAATAATCGATTTTTTCATGCTTCTACGGCAGTTTTTATGTAGTTTGCGGCCATTTTGTACTGGCCAGAGTGAGAGCCAATAGCTGCTGCCAACGAATAGGCAGGAAGAGACTATTGGCCAGCTTGAGAGCCAACAGCTGACTGACACGAATGTTAACGAGCATGCTAGCATGCAAAAAAAATCGATAGCTGCATTCGTCACAAGTGGGGAAAATTTAAATCTGCATGGCACTTTACTCCAATTGGCTCATTCACTTGCTTAAACTCAACGTTGATTCTGATTCCGCAGAACTGGGTTGGGTGTGAAAAAGTATTTGTTGTTAACATTCTTTTTTCATTCGGTTCTTCTAGTTACGGATCCTTTTTTAAAGCTGATCGTTTTGTGTTCATTTTGTTTAGTTCTTTTTTCGTAACAGATTTAATGTTTAGTATAGAGCTTAGAAAAAATTCACAGTGTTAGATAGGCAAGAAGTAAGGCATGTAGCAACATCAGCACGGCAAAGGGCACTCCTTTAAAGGCAAGGAAGGGCAAAAATAAGTGATAGTGATTGCTGTATGAGTCGTACGATTTTTGAATCAAGCACGGGCAACGCCGGGCCATGCTGCTAGTTCATTAATAAATAGCAATGCACTTTCATAGCAAAATCCTTGGCAATATTAGTTTCATATTATTGACAATGCATTTTCATAGTAAAATTATTGGCAATACATTTTCATAGTGAAATCATTGGCAACACATTTTCATAGTGAAATCATTGGTAATACATTTTCATAGTGAAATTATTGGCAACACATTTTCATAGTGAAATCATTGGTAATACATTTTCATAGTAAAATCATTGGAAATACACTTTCATAGTGAAATCATTGGTAATACATTTTCATAGTGAAATTATTGGCAACACATTTTCCTAGTAAAATCATTGGAAATGTATTTTAATATTAAAATAATTCATAATGCATTTTCATAGTAAAATAATTTTCAGTACAGTTTCATAGTAAAATAATTTGCAGTACAGTTTCATAGTAAAATCATTTCCAGGTACTTTAGCATAGGATAATGATTAGCAGCGTTAGTTTGGGTGACCATTACTAGTGTCGTGAGTAGTGAGTTCGATCATCACTAGTGTAGTGAGTTCGATCGTCAAGTTTTTGCATATAAAATCAATAAATTAATTAATATAATTAAGCCCAAGCTGACTTGATCAATTTTCAGTTAAGTAAAACATACAGACATGTAAAGAAAAAGAAAGAAGAAAAGCAGAAATATATAAATCCTCCGTTAAAATGAAATTAACTTCTCCTGTGCTTATTCCCATTACAGCTTGTGGATGGCCTTAATGAGCGGGCTGCATTCTTCATTTAGGTGCGGCCATGTTTGAAGCGATTGTATCACTCCTTGATCTGATGGCACCATCACCAAAAGCCTGCTGAGTTTTTTTTGATTCTTTGAGCGTGGATATCACCCATCTTTTGGCAAAACTTGATGCAATTTCTCTACTTGATGCGTTTAGCAATCTTGTATGTAAACAAAAATCTGACAAGTGCGCACTAGGCTTCTGTAAACGAGTTGTAACAGCCGGAAACTGATGCAGCCTACAGGTGCAAAGATTTTCACGCATGTACAGAAAGGGTGACATCACCTTCCGTTCAAAGGATTTTGCCCAAACGATATTAATTTTGTCGGGAAATATTAAGCTTGTATACTTTTTGAACGCAACTTGTATAAATATAAATAGGCATATTTAAATATTTATTCATTAAAATTTTTATTAAAAGATATATTCATTAACTGATCAGTATGTGATGAACAACATATATTTAGATTTATTGTGTGATGGCATATCAAGATAATTTTGCGTAATAAAATTCACAGAAAACACTTCATTAAGACGATTATTCACTATCTTGTGATATCTTTATTAGTTTTCCCTTTGATAATTGTGAACTACTTATCGGTAAGTTACTTGTAATGTTAATAATGATACAATTATGGCTAAAAGTAATTGTTTTAGTCATAAGGAAATAATTGTTTACATAAATAATGATATTATTCATAATCATTTTCCATTCGAAAATTCCTCTCTGAAACACAACTACTACTACAATTATATAAGCCTATTAATATCTATCTATCTATCTATCTATCTATCTATCTATCTATCTATCTATCTATCTATCTATCTATCTATCTTATTCTGTTCAAAACTATCTATCTATCTATCTATCTATCTATCTATCTATCTATCTATCTATCTATCTATCTATCTATCTATCTATCTATCACGGTCTGTTCACATCTATCTATCTATCTATCTATCTATCTCAGTTTGGTCATTATCTATCTATCTATCTATCTATCTATCTATCTATCTATCTTACAATAGTCTTTCAGCATTAACCATGCGTCAACTGCTGCTACATTAGAAATGAAGGATTATAATAATGATAACATGATTAATTATAATTACAGTATCTTTCAAGCTAATAATGATGTTACGGTCTCTGCTGATAATAGAGTTATCGTTTATAAAGCTATCATAACAGTCCTAGGCTAGTCATTATTTTGCATGTATGTAACAATGATTCGTTTCAATTATATTATACATAAGCAAAATTCTTCTGCTCTCCCTAACACTTACCTTATTAATAACGTACAAAGTATTGATATCACTTAACGAAAGAAAAGGTAATTAAGCGAGAAAATTTCAAATGTTTTCGGAGACGATTATCATTTGATATCAACACAGAAAAAAACGTAACAAACAATAGTGAATTATTGATATGAAACAGAAATTAAAAAGAAAACAAAAAAAAAACTTTGGGCCTCATATATATGTAACAATAATATCAAATATCAGCATTTTATTTATTCACTATTTATTAAGTTTATGAAAATACATTTCTTTAATCTGCATTTTTTGTGGAAAGTATATATATATATATATATATATATATATATATATATATATATATATCGGGGATAGACCTTGTGTAAATATAAAATATAAAATGGACAATGAGGTTAATATCCAGTGACGACAGGTCATGGAGATTGCATTCAAGCATAAAATAGACAGACTCTGGATAGTCGGTGTTGTCCACTTTTATATATACATATATGTAAACACACACACACACACACACACACACACACATATATATATATATATATATATATATATATATATATATATATATATATATATATATAATACTAAAAGTAAGATAGTAGGCAAGACTAGAGTCAGGCCAAAGCTTCGATATATATATTTTTTTTAATTGTTCAATACCCATTTCAGAAAAAATGAATTTGTAGAGCTGCTAATAGAATATAAGGTTAGGAAAAATTCACGTCCAACGCACTACCCGGGTTTCGACCTTACGGTCTCGTCAGGGCAGTTACTTGTGGATGGTTCATGTCTGCTTAAATAAACTATGAAAGCGCCACTAATAAGATATTTCACATGGTGAGGGAAAAGGAAGAGTTCTTCCATCGTACCTATAAATATATATATATATATATATATATATATATATATATATATATATACTTATACATATACATATATATATTTATATATAATTTAATATAATATAATATATATATATATATATATATATATATATATATATATATATATATATATATATATATATATAAACCAAATACCTTGGGAAATAAATTATATATATATATATATATATATATATATATATAGATATAGATATAAATAAAAAGAAAGAACAGTAAGATATATAATCCAGTCTTCTTATAGATGTTTTTATTTTACAAAATAGTGCTCAATGCAAGTTTACAGAGCATTAATATAGTTAGAACTGTGTAGCGAAAAAAATATTTTAAATCAATTAATTTATAATATATATATATATATATATATATATATATATATATATATATATATGTATATAGGTGAAAGTGGCTGTAGCCGAGATGACATTGCAGATTCATAAAATTTAAATAAATCTATAATCAGTTTTTAATAATATTCAAATACTTCATAAATATTTAATAGTAATATAACTATTATATTATTTAAGAGTATTAAAAGTATAAAAAAGGAAGCTATATAATGATGAAAATACATTAAAGCGATAAAGACAAAATTATACGGATATTTGTTTGACAATGTTATAGGTCATTTGCTGATCGTTCAAAAGGAAAGAGTTTACTAAGAATAGTCTTTGAGGTCAGCACTCTAACATTAATCGATGGAAGGGTCTCAGAACCATATCACATCATGATCTTTGGAAACCATTATTTTATTTTTGCCATTTATACCAAAACAATTGAATCGTAAAACTCTCCGGACCGGAAACAATGATGACAGCATGATAACGACCATCGACGATCTGCTTCGGTTTGTACACATGTTAACTTTTAAAACAAAATCTCAATCTAAAACAATGGAAGCATATATGGATAGGAATTTTGCTGGGATGGAATCGCTTCCCGATGTGGAAGCTAAGAAACCACTGTCAACTTCAAGCGTGAAAAATGTTCTCCAGTTAATATAATTAATACAATGAGTTGTATTAATTTATTGAATTGAATACTCGAATAGAAATATTTACACTATTGCTGTTACACTGTTGTCTTCATCTTTATTGCCATATTCACAACGTTTCATTCGTTGTCCGCTTTGGCCTTCATCAGGTGATATTAGTTGAAATTTCGAACCGAAACCTTTATTTAGTCCAAATATTTAAGAAAGATTAGATTGGAAATCCCAACGTATATCACCTGAAGAAGGCCGAAACGTCATGAATATGACAATAAAAATGAAGACAACAGTCAGAAGGATGTAAATAATTACAATATCCCATCTCAGAAATATAGACAGATGTTGAATGGAAATATTAAACATTTTTGTTGTCACATTTCAGTATAAAATGGCGAAATCTCTCTATATAAAGTTTTAGCCTCTGTCTGTTTTTTTTGTTATCGAACTCCCCCTAGGGTTTTGGAGATAGACCACCATAACCATATATATTCTGAAACTACGTTACCCAGGGTACTAGGATAAGTATATTTCATTTTGAACAAGTGGGTCCCCGATTGGCACCCCCACTGATTTTCCCTTTGATATAAATAAAATTTAAATTTGAAGAAGGAAATGACTCCTAGGGTACTTCGGTAAGTATATTTCAATTTGATCAAAGAGGGTCCCTGGGAACCACAACCCCCAATGAATTTTTCCCTTTTGATTTAAATTAAATTTAAATTTGAACAAGTGATTATCCAAAATATAAAAGGAAAAAACCATAAGATGGAGGTCAAATCGGCAAGATCAAAATGAGACAATATGGACGTCAAGTTTAACAAGAAATCACCAATCAGTGGGCAGTGACTTACAATACATATTTGTTGCGACAATTCAACTGCCATATCAATGTTGAAATCTGTTCATCAATTTATTCAATCAAGTATTGCATCTAATACATATCACATGGATCAGATAAAGTTGTTTTTTCACACCCACCACTGATTTTTTTTCCATTTGATTTAAATTAATTTTGAACAAGGGAATAACTCCTATCCAAAATATAGAAGGAGAAAGCCAGAAGATGAAGGTCACATCAGCAAGATCATTGAGTAATATTGAAATGCATCATTTCTTTCCACAAATTATAAGAATGATTTAAAATCAGTATATCATTTTCTCACAGAATTACATAAAATAATGCGTGACACGCATCAAGGCGTGGGTAATTCGATTATAATAAATAATAAGCTAGGTCCCTTGAGCAGAGCACCTTAAATAGGTATTAACAAAGCTCAGATTCTGTAGAACAATGTCAGAACAATGAGAAACGAACTGTGGATCCAATTTATTAGAGTCGTAATTGCTTATGCGATATGTCATCCATTTATTTTTACGGTGAGGAACAATGTCATGTATATGGGCATCCATTGAATGTTGGAATATTTTTCCCTGAAATAAGCTTGTTAAAAAAAATTTCACAATAAGATATTCGAAATATTTTCTAAGATCCGTCGAGTAGGAAAAAAAGGCAGTTGTAATGGGTAATCAATGTATAAAACTTAAAAATATTTACGATGACGATTTGAAAAAAAAATATTTGTGTTGTTTTATTTACCAAGATGTCTTTGGTATAAGCTACACAGTGTGTATGGAACTCACACCAGCTCTAATATTTCGCTATACTGCATTCATAATTATAGTTTCCTGTCGAGGTACAGCAATTTAATGAAATTAATTTCAGTATTAATGGTCTCTAGGTCTAGCTCATTAATAATTCTTGTGCTGGTTCTATATTTGAGAAAATACCTTAGTGCAGAATAGAGTCAAATTTTTAGGCCACTCATTGAGAAAAAACAAACAAAAAACACTGCTTTCAGTACAAAGGATCTGTGAGGTTACATTGCTTATGCATACTTAATGATATATTGAGTATCAATTTTTGTTTAATTTTTCTCTAAATCTTCGTCGTTGCTAACATGTTCAGTCCATGGTATCCACAGCATCCTTTTGTCAAACCACATGTGAGCGTAAAAGCAAGATTCATTGAAGGCCTCCAGGCGGTTCACAAAAGAATCGGAAAATAATTCGTATACATTTTTGATGGATAAGTAGAGCTTCAATAAAGATTAATATTCGATTGACATTACACACAGCGTTGAAATAATAGTTAATCATTTGATGTTCTCTCACCATATTTAAAAAATTGTTACTGGAGTTGATAATGCCATTTCAGAAATAACAACAGGAATTAGTGTTTTATACATTCAGAGAAAATTCAGATTTTCTTCAATTAAAAATAAAATAAATATATGTATTTCGATGTTCACTCATATACACATATACGTTGGTACAACAATAAGTTCGCTTCCTAATGATGGAAAAGAATTTAATCAACAGATATCATTCAACATATTTTATTTCATTGTCAATGCACTTAGTTCAGTTGTTAATATTAATAAAATAGATCGATTATACATTGATTTTTTAAGATCAAAACTCAACTAATAATTACACTTTTTCTTCATTATAAATAGTTAAAAAAATCTCCCAGTTCTCATATGCAAAATTAGTATGCTAATGTAGTCTGGTAGACTAATATTTACTCAGATACCATGAACTACTTTTATATAGTTTAACTCCAAAATATTATATTACTACCTTAAAAGCCGCTTTATTGGGCGGCATTTAAACTAGCTCCTGCAGAGGGCTCTTGATTGGGTCTTCATCACAATAGGTAGGAGTAGATGTCATAGGCAACAATAAACTACGAAAGAACTCTAAACTGATCACTGCATTTAAGTATTGCATTAATATTTAAGCTTACCTTTTAAAAGTTTAATGATAATTATTCTGTCGCCACTTAGTTTAAAGACAATATGATGTATGTAGGTCCTTACTTTCCGTACGAACAATTATTTTTATTACATTCGTGACTTTCGCTGGATTTTGCAATTAATTTCGATTATTCTCAAATGTATTTCCAAGTTATAAAAATTGTTAAAAAGATTGTCGCAAAAACGTCACGTAAAAAAAACCGCCGAAAACAATCGCAGTGATGAAAAATTGTGAATCCCAAATTACTCCAGGTTATATATATATATATATATATATATATATATACTAGTAATAATCTTATAAGTATAAGAAATTATACTGGTCCGGAAAACCTTCGGTGTCTTGATTTGCAAATAATCAAATCAATAACAAAGGCAAAAAAAGGTATAAAAAAAAGAAAGAATCAAGAACATGTACGTCAGCCGAAAATAATCGTCTCGCATCCAAGTCCAAAGCCCAAAGAAAAAAAAAAAAACGATACGAGTAATCAAAATAACTAAATAAAGTGCTCAATACAGTAAGTAGAGCAGACCTAGTTAAACCTAGAGAGCCAGACAAACCTACCTTCGTTACATTTTTAGCCAGCCTTCCCTGCCAATCCGCTTAGATGAAACCTTGGTAGGTTTGTCTGGCTTAGGTTTTAATATATATATATATATATATATATATATATATATATATATATATATATGTATGCATGTGTGTTTGTGTACATGCGTATAGATATATACGTGTATGAATATATACACACACCATGTACTAGCACACACACACACACACACACACAGACACACACACACACATATATATATATATGTGTGTGTGTGTGTGTGTGTGTATATATATATATATATATATATATATATATATATATGTATACATACGTACGTATGTATGCATATATATATATATATATATATATATATATATATATATATATATATATATATATATATAAAAGTGAACATTGAAGTTAACACTCAGAGGCGACAAGCTGTTTCACGCTGGACGCAATCGTCAGGCCCCCTGACGATTTCGTCCAGTATGAAACAGCCTGTCGCCTCTGAGTGTTGACTTCAATGTTCACTTTTATATTTATATTTACATACGCTCTATCTTTGATATCCCATAAATATAGCACACCTTAAAACAATATTTGTTCATATATACGTACACGCAAAAGCACATACGCAAAAGCACACACATATATGTGCATACACGCATATATGTTTTTACATGTGTATACAAATAAAAAAAATATATACTTATGTATATTTATATATAAAATGTATATGTTGGTGTGTGTGCATGTGTGCGGGTGTTTGTGTATATACCGTCGCATATATTTTGACTTAATCTCAGATCGCAGAAGTATTGTCACCAATCTATTTTAATCTCATTTTCTATCAATCAATCTCAGCACCTGCTAGTTAAGATACAAACACATTTCAGTGAATACAAACAAGCCTTTTTAAAATACGAAATATTGAACTTCCAAAGTCCTTTTGTACATTTATATGTTTTGAATATTTATATTGCTATTTACTTAATGCAATTTAACTCCAGATAAACTTTAAGTTTAACAATGAAAATAACCATCAGTCGCCCAGAGGTTATTTCATGATTAATCAAAGATTTGTTTCTAGTTAGTCATTTTCTTTCTTTCCGTCATTCATTCATTTTTTTTATTAACTCATTTTCTTTCTTTCTTTCTTTCTTTCTTTCTTTCTTTCTTTCTTTCTTTCTTTCTTTCTATTTTACTTAGCTCTATGTCTTTCATTCTTGCGTTGACTTTAACATCTATCTTTCTATCTTTCTTTCTTTAGCTTTTATCTAGCTAACTTTCTCTTTTTCATTCTTTTTTGCTTTAACTTAGCTCTCTATCTATCTATCTATCTATTTTTCTTTTTCTTTCTTTCTTTCTTTCAATGTTTTAACTTAACGGCTCTCTTTCTATCTTTCTTTTTTCTTTCTTTATCTTTTAGCTTCTTTTTCTTTCTTTTACTTAGATTTATTTCTTGTTTTCTTTCTTTTTTTCGCTTTTACTCACCTCACTTTTTTCTTTCCTTACATTTTGGTTTTTATTTAGCACTCTTTCTTTTTTGCATTTAACTTTCTTTATATTGCTTTTTAGTTAATGCAATTTTATTCCATATAAACTTCTTTGCCTTTAATTTTCTTTCTTTCTTTCTTTCTTTCTTTCTTTCTTTCTTTCTTTCTTTCTTTCTTTCTTTGTGCATTCAATCTTTTTACACCCTCTCTCACAGTCGTTTTTATTCAACCATTGCGTTGGTTGAATTAAAATTTGACTTAAGTGTCCATAGTTAAGTTTCGCTAAATGGTAAGATTTAAGTTTCTGGTGTCCCAAGCTGACAAGTTTCACTCGACAATATGAGGTAAAAACATTACTGATAGAATAGGAATTATATATATATATATATATATATATATATATATATATATATATAAATGAGGTAAAAGGTAATTATTTCAAAATCGGAATACGTTGAAAACCAGGAAGAAATAAAGTGTCATTTGTCAGGAACTAAAATAAGCATTAGTAATACAGTAACACATGTAAAAAAAGAATGCTTTGCTAAGTGTTTTATAACTGACTAGCAGTAGAGCCCGGCGTTGCCCGGGGATGTAACAGTAAGAGATAGATCAAGTATCGACCCTCATAAAGACTGAAAAATAAAATTGACAAAGATTATTGTTTAAGGTTGACGGACACGCATGTCTTAATTAGTTTTTTTTTTTTTTTACGAATTGGTCAAACCCAAACTCAAACAAAAACATTGTTTATGAGTCAACCGATTGAATAGAATTTTATTATAAACAATTGTCTTATAAATAGAATTTTTAAAGCATTCTGAATGTAAAAATAAAGAAAAAAGTGTGCAAGACAATAAGAAACACTACCTGCCAAAAAAGTGAAGTTTTGTTGAAATCGGTTGAAAAATGTAGGAAATCCGATCCCATCTATAAAAGAACACACACACACACAAACAAACAACCTGGCGCTGTAAGAACCACTGCAAGGTAATTTTACGTAGTCCTGTGAAGTTTTGTTGAAATCGTTTGAAAAATGTAGGAAATCCGATCCAATATATAAACGTACACACACACACACACACACACACACACACACACACACACACACACACACACACACACACACACACACACACAATCTGCGTTTTATAATAAGTAAGATGTATTGTAAATAATGTTACTATATATTTTTTAGAATAGAATTGAAAATAAAATAAATGAATGGTTAGTGGTAAGGTATTAATGCATTACTAACAAAATAGGTCTCTCTCGTTCTCTCTCTTCCTCTCTCTCTCTCTCTCTCTCTATATATATATATATATATATATATATATATATGAAAATTCACTAGAAATTTAAACGACCCCCAAAAAAAAAAAAACTAAACAAATTACTCAAGGGCAACATAACTAAAGCTTATAAAAAAGCACAAAACAAAAGAACATGATATTAATATGGAAGCTAAAAGAATCACCCAAACTTTAGATCACTACTATTCGACAACGAACTCGGGTTGATAAAGAAAGAAGAGAGCTTTGACGTCACAACGGTGGGTTTTGATGACGCTATAACTGTGAGCATATATTTTCTATTCGAAATAAGTAAAATAATCGATAAAAATGATACAGGCCTATACAGGGACGACGATCTCATAATTTTAATAAACTGCAACATATAAAACCAGAAAAACCGTCAAAACCATTTTCAAAAATATAGGATTCGGCATAAATATAAAAACTAACCTAAAAGAAGTAGATTTTCTAGATGTCATCTTCAACTTAAGAAAAAGTACATATCAACCATACAGAAAACCACTGTATATACAGACATCTTCCAACCATCCGCCATTAATAATCAAGCAGATCCCACAATCAATTAACCACAGGCTATCTGAAAACTCCTCTAGTGAAACCATCTACAACGAAATCAAGAAAGACTATGAAGCAGCCCATAAAGTGGATTTCCGGTAACTCTCACATACACACCACGCAGTACAAACAAGCCAATATACGGTTATACCCACCGTGCAACAAAAACGCTAAAACAAACGTGGGGAATATATTCATTAAAATCATACACAAGCACTTACACCCATCAATAACGCCCCATAAGATATTCAATAGCAACACAGTAAAAAAGAAAAAAAAATCAGTTACAGTTGCAGGACACAAATAATAAATAAAGCACAATAGGAAAACAACTAACAAATCACCCGCAAAAATCAACCCCACGTGTAACTGCAGAACAAAGAACGAATGTCCATTAAACAGAAATTCCATGCAGAACAATATAACATACCAAGCCAGTATAAAATCAGTAGATAACGAAGAAAAAAAATCATAGGTGCAATTGAAAGACTCTGCAGACAAATAAACTACGTACACTAAACATCCTTTACAAATAATAAATACACGAAGAGCTAAATTTTTTCTAAACATATCCGGGAGATTAAAAACAACAAACTAAATTACACCAAGAATATTATGGAAAATAAGGCAAACAGCATCAGCCTACAACAGTAGATCCAAAACTGTAAATTCTCTCTGGAGACAAAACTGCACCCGGATCCATAATTATTTCCACTCAATAGCTCCTAATTATGAAATAATATGAAACATAACCGTTACTGCTTAACCAAATAAGCGTTACAATAATACAATAAGCTTACACATAAGGTATCACTAGTATATACAAAAAGTCAAGCAAAAAGATAACGGACATGGTGATTGCACTTAAGCATGAAAGAGACCATTCTCATCTAGGTGTTGACACCAATGACCACTTTTATATTTACATAGACTCTATTCCCTGATATTGAACACTATAATCCATAAATAGAGCATACATTAAAACTATATTCTGATCATATAGTAAAGAATAGCACTGTTGTATTGCTCATGATTTTATTATAAGAATTTATTGCAAATGAGGGAGAAAGGGATTGTCAGAGGTTAGGTATGAAGGCAAGCATTACTGATAGAATAGGGCTATTATATGTATAATGCAAATGCATTGCTAATGATTTCAATATAGGAATATATTGAAATTTAAGACATACTGGGTTGTCAGTGTCTAAGCATTACTGATAAAATAGAACTTATAGAATATGTATTCTGCAGATGCGTAATTAATAATTTAACTATACAAATACATTGAAAATCAAGATGGTCTGTCAATAGACAGAAATCAATCGAATCATTACTGAGTGAATAGAGATCTATATGTAACACACACACGCACTCATATATACATATATGAACGGCCGTCTTTTTTTATATATATTGTGTATTCGGGCAGTTATCCGTCTTTTATACATGTTTCATTAAAGGCGACTGGCAAGGTAATGCGTTTAAGCATTGTATGCAGTTTTTCTTGCATTCTTAGATCTTTTTGTATTTTGGCTATTCTAGCAATCATTAATGGCTTCAATTCAAGCTGACGGGGATAGCTTTAGATCATACATTGTGGAAGCTCTTTTCGCAGGAGTCTTCAAAATCAAAGCGCCTGGAACAGCCTGCTTCAATTCAAGCTGACGGGGATAGCTTTAGATCATACATTGTGGAAGCTCTTTTCGCAGGAGTCTTCAAAATCAAAGCGCCTGGAACAGCCTACTTCAATTCAAGCTGACGGGGATAGCTTTAGATCATACATTGTGGAAGCTCTTTTCGCAGGAGTCTTCAAAATCAAAGCGCCTGGAACAGCCTGCTTCAATTCAAGCTGACGGGGATAGCTTTAGATCATACATTGTGGAAGCTCTTTTCGCAGGAGTCTTCAAAATCAAAGCGCCTGGAACAGCCTACTTCAATTCAAGCTGACGGGGATAGCTTTAGATCATACATTGTGGAAGCTCTTTTCGCTGGATTCTTCAGAATCAAAGCGCCTGGAACAGCCTGCTTCAATTCAAGCTGACGGGGATAGCTTTAGATCATACATTGTGGAAGCACTTTTTCCAGGATTCTTCAAAATCAAAGCGCCTGGAACAGCCTGCTTCAGTTCAAGCTGACTGGTCTAGCTTTAGATCATACATTGTGGAAGCTCTTTTCGCAGGAGTCTTCAAAATCAAAGCGCCTGGAATAGCCTACTTCTATTCAAGGTGACTGGCATAACTTTAGATCATACATTGTGGAAGCTCTTTTCCCAGGATTCTTCAACATCAAACTGCCTGAAAAAGCCTACTTCAATTATTCAATTTTTCCAAGACATCTCTGGAAAAAGCTATGATCAGCTCAGCACATTATGTCCAATCCAAAGCTTGATTTTTACGAGTTCTAGGAAATCCCCTCACAGTTAGAATCCTTGTTTTGGACCCCAATCGACGTTCAAAATCTCCCCAAATCTCAAGTGAAACTCTTATATACAACCCACTACTAAAGATACTGGAAAATGTCCGGTTCCTTGTAATACTTGAGAAGCGACAAATCCAAAGAAAAAAAATGCAAGATTACTGCAATATTATATATGGAATTGAAAAATCATAACCCACACTCAGTCTTGTTATTGTGTAAAATCGTTTACGCAGCATTGTGAGTGGTGATGTTATATTTAATCTTGAAATCCTTTCCTCCAGACAAAACCTAGCGAGCCTATTGTTCGGTTTGTTTTGTTTTGCTTTATGACATATCAACCCAAATAGGTTATTTGATGTCGACAAGATTTTTATTGCTAGTAATGTTTTTTTTTTTTTTTTTTTTTTTTTTTTAACAAAAATGTATTGCTGGTAATATTTTTTTTTCAAAAATATATTGCTGGTAATTTTTTTCAAAAATGTATTGTTGGTAATAATCTATTGCGGGTAATAATTTTTTCCAAAGAATGTATTGCTGATATTAAAACCCATTTTTACACTTTCATTTTGGTTGTTAGCTGTTTGTCCATAGCTGGGACCCTAACAAGTGCTACCACTCCGGATTAAGGTGGACCTGTGAACAACAGCAATTAGAAGATGGTTCCACGCACTTCAAAACCATCTGATAAGAAGCCTTTTTGCCGGATGTAGTTTATTGTCATATCCGGGACGCCTCATGAGTGGGTTCTTATCCCTCTGCACAGGTGCAGTCGGCGTTTTCTGGAGCCCCAGCCGACAGTGCAAGCTATTTTTCGGATGTGATCTATTCTTAATTCTACGATAATTCTACGATAACTAAAACCCACTATATTATGTTCACAAAATCGAATCACACTGATTCCCATTGTATTCGATTTTTAAGTAGAAAG